TGTGCGGCGCCTCTGTATTGGGCTATATCACGACGAAGCTCAAAAGAGCTTTGTCTACTGTGTTCGGCCCGGCCGGACTTGCTGTGTCCGGCGCGACGGTTGTTGTCACGTATCATGGGGCGCCCACGCGATCCATAGATCGATCTTGATTGTCTTGCCTTATCCTCCAATATATCTCGCAAGTCCAGAGTGTTCCCCTGTGGCCTTGTGCTTTTCGGGCGATGCCGGGGTACGGTTCTAGTGGAGGGCCTAGAGGCCTCTCTGTCGCGGCCATGGGGTGGTCGGTCAGCCGTATTGTCCGCCGGTGATGCAGGTTCATATGCATCCTCCTCTAATCGGGGAAGCAGCTTGCGTTTAGGGTAGCTTTTGGAGGGGCGTTCGAGCTCATGCTCTTCGGCCGCAAGGACTTCAGTCCATCTGTCGGCTAGCAGATCTTGATCAGCTCTAAGCTGTTGCTGCTTTTTCTTGAGGCTGTTTTCCGTGGCCATAAGCCTGCGTTTAAATCGCTCTTGTTCGACGGGATCCTCAGGCACGACAAATTCGTCGTCGTCGAGGCTTGCCTCGTCTCCGGAGGGAGGCATGTAATTATCATCATCTACCTCTTCGTCTGCCGCTCTCTCATGAGGGCTGGCTTCTCCGTCCTCCTGTGCTGAATCTTGCTGGAGGGGGTTGTCTTCGGCACTGTCTGGGGTATTATTATCTCCGGTGCCGGAATCTCCATTCTTGCTGTGGCGGGATTTAGAGCGGCGCCGCTGACGCCGGCGCTTGGGCTGTTTCTTGGAGGGGTCATCCTCTGGTGTTCCTTCGCCATTCCCATCCTTTGGGATGTCCACCATGCATATGTCATATGATGAGGTGGCTTTCCAGTGCCCAGTAGGCGCTGGTTCTTGGTCGTCTCCGGCATCGTCGTCCATACCGTCAATGTCTTCGGAGTCGAAGTCTAGCATGTCGGTTAGATCGTTGACAATGGCTACTAAGTGGGTGGTGGGTGGGCTTTGAATTTCTTCGTCGTCCGCATCCCAACCGTCCTGACCGCAGTCCGGCCAGGGCTCTCCTGATAACGAGAGATACTTTAGCGAACTCAAGATGTCGCCGAAAGGTGAGTGTTGAAAGATGTCCGCAGCGGTGAACTCCATGATCGGTGCCCAATCGGATTCGATTGGAGGGGGCGCGGGAGGTTCGGAGTCCGGCGAGGAGTCCGGCACCTCGGAGTCACGAGCTTCACGAGGGACAAGGTCAGTATTCGGCTCCATCGCCGTAGAGGTCGCAGCCCCCGAGGCGGTGTCTAGCCACCCGTCCTCAATCTGCGCAGCCGGCTTCAAATTGAGGGTCGGAGCGGACTCGTGTGCGGCCTCCAGGGCACTGTCCGGCTGCAGAGCTAAATCATGCCCATCGTGACAGTGCGGCGTGCTCGGCTGTGGCTCGAATCCATCGAAGATCAAGTCCCCGCGGATGTCAGCCGTGAAGTTCAAACTTCCAAATCTGACCTGACGGCCAGGGGCGTAGCTTTCGATCTGCTCCAGATGGCCAAGCGAATTGGCCCGCAGTGCAAAGCCACCGAATACGAAGATCTGTCCGGGGAGAAAAGTCTCACCCTGGACTGCGTCGTTGTTGATGATCGAAGAAGCCATCGAGCCTATCGGTGACGACACAGAGGAACTCTCAATGAAAGCACCAATGTCGGTGTCAAAACCGGCGGATCTCGGGTAGGGGGTCCCAAACTGTGCGTCTAGGCGGATGGTAACAGGAGATAAGGGACACGATGTTTTACCCAGGTTCGGGCCCTCTTAATGGAGGTAAAACCCTACGTCCTGCTTGATTGATATTGATGATGTGGGTATTACAAGAGTAGATCTACCACGAGATCAAGGAGGCTAAACCCTAGAAGCTAGCCTATGGTATGATTGTTGTTCGTCCTATGGACTAAAGCCATCCGGTTTATATAGACACCGGAGAGGGCTAGGGTTACACAGAGTCAGTTACAATGGTAGGAGATCTACGTATCCATATCGCTAAGCTTGCCTTCTACGCCAAGGAAAGTCCCATCCGGACACGGGACGAAGTCTTTCAATCTTGTATCTTCATAGTCCTGGAGTCCGACCGATGATGATAGTTCGGCTATCCGGACACCCCCTAGTCCAGGACTTTCTCACCCCTCTCTAGTCGACCATACCGATCCTTTCATAATGTTTTATGTTTAGTCTAAGTGGACATTGACCGATGTTTTAATATTCATGTTTTTATTTCTTTTAAATGTTTTATGCATATTTAGTTTTCTTAATTGTCGCATGGACCAAATGTGTCGGCCACGCACCTACGCCTACAGAACCAAAACTAGACACACTTGTCCGCTTGGCCTACCCAAACGGACAAAACCCGCGTCCGTTTGGGTCGGCACATTGGAGTTGGTCTTAGACTTAGCATAAAGACTTTATTTCTCAGAGCCATCCACCTCCTTGGAGGCGTCATCGAGGTTTGCCCTCCTTTTCCCCCATGGTGTCCCTGGTGAAAACTAGAATTGTTGATTTGGGCGGCAGCAGCGCCCCAGGGTCGTCACCTTCTTGAAGGTGTCGTCTTTGGACTTTGGGGGCTGGCTCGACTCTCGCACAGGTGTTTGGCCGCTGAAAGCAGCCAATATTCTTCAGTGTTGCAGCAGTGTTGCAGGTGCTCCGGCTCTGCTCCATGGTGTGGCACTGCACATATTCTCCCGGCGTCTTCTTTGGCGAGTCCTTCTGGCAGCTTGGGTTTGCTCTATGCCCTGTTTCACGTGTGAGTCTAGATGCCTTTTGGCTGCTTCACGAGGTGAGGCGCTTGTGTGTGTCGTCCTTCCCCGGCCACCGGTTGGTCATGTCCTTGCGTGCTCATGGGAGCTTCTCCGCCTGCCAGCAGGATGACGCTCTACGAGGCAGGGCGAGAGGGCAGGTGGTGCCCTCTTCGGAGGCGGAGATCGCCGGCATGACGATGTTGTGGTTTCGGGGTTTTGGCTACACACAGGTTTCCTCCAGTGGACGAGCAACCTTCATGGCTTCATCTCCTCTTCGACACGATCACGACGTTGCTCAAGCTTCCGAGCTTGTGCTTGGCGTCGTCTGTTAGCTTGCTTCTTAGTTGCCTTGTATCTTTAGTTGTTTGTTGTTAATTTTGTCGAGTGAGGTGTGTGTTGCTTTGGTCTGGGTCTCTTAAGGGCGTCATTGATTTAACGCCGGGCCTCGGCCTTGTTTCTAAAACTTCATTTGCTTCTCAGAGACATGGAACATATGATATCATTGATTTAGCGTTGGGCCTTGGCCTTCTTCCCATGATTTTTTTACTTCACTTCATATTTTATCCTAAAATTTAATCGGCAATGATAAATCCCGAACGTTTGGATTTTAAGCATGGCAACCCGAACGTTTTTATGACAACTTTAGTTCAGGTGAGGTTGGCAAATATTGCAATTTTCTGACAAAAAAATGAACTGGGACAAAGTTACCATGTCTTAACAACTAAAGTTGCCACCTCACGTCAACTAAAGTTGCTATGTAAAAACGTTCGGAATGAAATACTTAAAATCCGAACGTTCGAATTTTATCGGGGGTCCAATTTATATATACACATTTTTCGTTGGACTGAGGGAGTAGCTCGTTGCATTCTGGCTCGTGGGCGATCGGGGAATGTATTTGGTGCACCGGAGCAATTGGTGCTACCGATGCACCGGACCATGTTACATATTAAAAAATGTTGAGAAAAATTTAGTGCATCAACACAGCATCAATGTATGTTATCACAAAAATTCAATTCAAAATTTAAAATAATGCTCAAGATACAAAAATGACAAATTTGACGTCAATGTGCTAATGGGCCAAAACTGAAGCCCAACTTATTTTATGTACCGTTTAATGCCAAATTTGTCATTTTTTATCCCAAGCAATGTTTTGAATTTTGATTTAAATTTTTGCGACAACTTACATTGATGTTGTCTCAATGCACTAATTTTTTTCTGAAATTTTTCGAACAATCTTTAATCTACAACGGGCGACCGGTGCACTGGTAGCACCAAATGCTCCGGTGCACCAGATACCTCCCCTGGGGCCTGGGCGATCGAGCCAGCCAACCAAACTGGACTGGGAACAGAGCCAAAGCCAATGCGCATGCCTGCCCCTACCCTACCCCCACTCCGCTGCAGCGAGACGCACGACTCGCACGTGCCCCTATCTGCTGCGGCTTGTCCGCTCTGCTCCCCGCACCGGCACCACCATCACCACTCCACAGTCCACAGTCCACACTGCCACTGCACGCCCACCATCCCCACCTCTCCCACGACCACGCCCCTGTGCCGGCCGTGCTCACCGCTCCCCTGCCCTCTCCTCGCCGCATCCCTCGGTCGGTCCCCTGCCGCGCCGGCGCCGCCCACCCGTCCCCCGGGTCGGGGCCGGGGCCATGGACGGCGACGCGTGGCCCGTGCGGTGGCCACCTCCGCGCCCGTCCGCCGCGCCGGCGCCGGCGCCGACGACGCTGCCGAGCCAGGTACGCACGCGCATTCGTGCGGGAGGGGGTTTCTCGGGGCATGAGAACGCGCGTGACACTGGTTTACGAGCGACATACGCTCTTCATTTGGGGACGATCTGCTCTGCTTCTCCCACCCTGTTCCAAGGTAGAAGAAGAAGAGATCCTCACATCGCCTTGCCTCTCTTCTGCTGCAGCGCGTTCCGCAGGCGGGCAGCACGGACCCGCGCCATCGCCTCCGCCCCTTCGCCGCCGCCGGGCCCGCCCCGCAGCCGCCGGAAACCCTCACCGGCGGCCGGCCCGCGGGAGCGCCGGCCGGATTGGATTTGGGGCCGAGCCCCGCGCCGGCGCCCGACCGGTTTGCGCTCAACACCGCCGCGGCAAGGCCGGGCCAATCGCTGCCGGGGCCCGCGGCAGTGCCGGGCCAGTCGCTGCCGGGGCCCGCGGCAGTGCCGGGCCAGTCGCTGCCGGGCCCCGCGGCAGTTCCGGACCGATTCGCCCTCAACACCCCGGCAATGCCGGGCCGGCTGTTGCCGACCGCCACCCCGTGGAGTCAGCCCGCGAGATCCGGGCCGAGCAGCACCCCCCTGCTCGCTCAAGCTCCTCCCGGGACTTACTACAGCTACCCCCATTTGAGCCGTGCGCCGGACCTCAACTCCCTGCTCCACACCCCCAGGGCCAGCAATGCCAACAATGCTGCTGTAGCCGTCGATCTTGCTCGCGCTTATGCTCCGCTTGGCGGCGCACCGGCGGTGCTGCCAAAGTACCCGCGGTATGGGTTGTCGGCCGGCAGCGGCGGCGAGCAGTCCTCCTTGGGGGCATTGTTCTCGAACAAAAGCTCCTCCTCAAATGTGCAGGTTAATTTGCCAGGGGAAGGTTCGACTTCAACCATAGATGGTATGCTTTTGAGCTCTCAGTGAGACTGATAGCACTGACCTGATGGGCACAATTAATGGTTTGGGTGTTGTGACTGATAGCAGTGAGTCTCACCATTTGTCATGCAGGAATGCCCCACAGCGCCGTGCAGTTTCAGGATTCAAGTGCAGCACAAATGATGCAGAAGCTGGCATCCAAACCGGCCCCTCGCCATCAGCCCGCGCCTCTCACGGATCGTATGCACGTCTCCTGCCTGAACGTCGGTGGGTTCACCTTGCAACATGATCTGCAACCTAGTTTGACTACCGGTTTGTCGTGGGGGCGGTAGCCATTGAATGGCTAGACCATTGTTAAGTAAGCATTTTTTTTACCCCTTGTATCTGGAAAAAAATGGCCTCGAATGGAAACCCGGCCACTGAACTACGTACGATGAGCAGTGCTTGATCATAGCATTTCTGCTTGTTGCTTGTGCAGCAAATGATCATGGCATTACTGCATTGTGTCAAAAAGTTTAAAAGGTGTCTCTTGATGACTGAATAAAGGTTTCCAAATCATCTAGGATTAAATATGACTCTCAATTAGCAAATCTTTATTTACATACTATGTCCCCCCACCGGCATTTGGTTAGTATTAATTTAGTGCAAATGAGAAAACTGGGATTGGTTATCAGTTGGATTGTTAACTTTTTTCAATCTCTTGATCCTGCTGCCTAAAACTATTATGATCGCTAAATGTATATTCTTCTTTCAGTAAAGTTCTTCTATTGGCATTTGAACAGGTGGAGAGCTCTTCGTGGGTGATGCTGGGCCTTTTGGAGTTCTTTGCTCATGTCATCAGTTGAGGATGTCTGTAGCTAAGTTCTGTGAGGTACTATAGGACCGTCGCCCTAACTTGTTGTATTTTATTATCCACATACTCGACTTCGCAGAAATTTTCCTGTCAGTAAAAGTTTTAACTTGCATACATTTGTTGATGATGTAGCATGCAGGAGGGCCTGCAGAAAAAGCTGGTGAAATTGTCCTCATGGAGAATGGCATGAGTATTGCACACTGGTTCAAATACTGCGTAGGGGTAAGTATTAGACGATTACATCTGACAGCGACTCAATCTATTATCACCTCTGTTCTGAATTATAAGGCGTTTCGGATATTCAATATGGACTACATACGGATTGAAATGAGTGAACAAACAAACTAGAACACGTCTATATGCATCTGATTTTGAAAAAAGTTAGAACATCTTATAATTCGGAAACGGAGGGAGTATACTTTACTTGGTAAGTAACTAATTCCATTTTGGACACCATGAATTAGTTGTATAACTTCTGACTTGTGATGTATCACATGTTCTGTGATTCTGTGTCTGACTGCAGATGAATTAAATCAAACATGCACTTGGCATGATGATACTTTGATGTGAATTGCAAAATGATTGGTCAGAGATGATGCATTTTTATATTTTCCTCACACATGTGCAGTCCAACATGTCCTGATAGTTATGTGAAGCTTTTATTTCATATGTGTGTTTACTGTTTTCCCCTTTTGTTTTCATCTAGGTTGGATCATATGTTACTGACACTAAGTGTGACCAGCCAGAATGGGCGTGTATAGATCCTTCTCCAGAAGGATACAGGCTGAAAAATCTCCTTGCGAGAAACACTAGTATGGAAAAAGTGGGGTTATTCAATGGATATGGAAAAGGCACAGGACCTATGAACGGAACAGTTTATTCGAATGATGTACGAAAAAGTACAGGACCTATAAGCGGAACAGTTTATTCCAATGATCTGCACAATGAGGGTAGAGGGCACACTACCGTTGAAAAGCTAGGGAATAAGAGAGATGAAACATATTACAGGAGTGCTGATGTCCACACATCCTTTGCTAGGAACTTTGCTTTACTGCAGAATTCTGAAACAAATCTAGGGCTTGCTAAAAACCATACTGTTAATACAGCGAACCTAAACCAAATTAGCAGGCTAAGTGGAAGCCCATATATTACAGCAAGCACGAGTGCACATCACAATGGGAATCATTCGTCACATAATTATGCAGATCTTCTGGAGAATAACTCTGGTGCCTCGTTTCGTAATCCAGCTCCAATATCTCCAGTAGTTTTTAGCAATGATACTAGGGCAGGCAGATATAATTTTCCCAGCAAAATACTCCAAGATAGTTTGAGCAGTGCTTCGAACACTGAATTGAAGCTTGGGCAATCCTCCTATCATCAATCTCTGACTGCCCTATTTCCGTCGGCGCAGTCAACATTAATTGATTTTCAAAGACCTCAGTCACATCTGCCATCAGCAACTCAAAGTGAGTTTGTTATTATGCTCTTCTTTCATTATTTTTGCTGTCAATTGTCATTCAAGTTACAAAGTACCTGCAATAACTACTGATCAGGCATCTGCAATTTTGTGTATACTTAGCCATGCCAAGACTTCGTTTTAGTGGTACTGAAGTGTGTAAATGGTAGAAACAATAATAAAATTAGTTGATGAACAACAAAAGTAATTTGCTATGATTTAGAACACCACAGCAGAAACATCAAGCTTGATCCTTGTATGTGCACTGCCTGTGAGAGCATCCCCCTTCCCCCACCTGGATATCTAAATAATATCATTACTCTTTGGTGCAGATCATTGTCCTAGGCAAACAGTCAAGGTCAGTAAAAATATAGGGGAACATAATGGACCACCAGTTGGTAGAGGAACTAGCGAACAATCTAATGGAGTTGCTAATGCTATCAATCGTTCTGAAGGTGGCAAGGTTACAGATGCAGCAGCCAAGAACTCATTTATCTCAATATTTCTTTCGCATCTTGAGAGGAATAGTGAAGCCATTGATGATATTCTCAAGAGTAGTGAGCATAGCCTACCTAGGGGTCTGGATGGTGCATATAGTTCCTATCATTCAAAAATTGCAAGTAGACAAGTTGAGCCAAGGGCTAATGATAATCCTTCTAAGTTGGCTTCTACCAGCATTCATACTGAAAGGATATCAGATGACAGGGCTCTTTCAGTGGCACTCAGTGGATCTTCAAAAGTTGTACCACTTGCAAATAGTCAGAACTCTTTAATCCATAGTGACTGCCGGTCGCATTTGCTGCCTAGGCAACCTAATGCTGGAAGCTCCAAAGTTTGTGATGGTGCATATAGTTCCTATCATTCAAAAAGTGCAAATAGACAAGTTGAGCCAAGGGCCAATGATAATCATTCTAATTCGGTCTCTACCAGTATTCATACGAAAAGGATATCAGATGGCATTGCTCTTTCAGTGGCACCCAGCGGATATCCTTCAAAAGTTGTACCTCTTGCAAATAGTCATGAGCCCTTAATCCATAGTGACTGCCAGTCGCATTTGCTGCATAGACAACCTAATGCTGGAAGCTCCAAAATTTGTGCAGGACTTCCATGTCCTGCAATTCCATGTCCTGCAAATTGCAGGACTGGCAATCATGCGGGCGATGTATCCCATCAGGCTCCCTGTATGTATGATAAAATGGTGAGTTGATCTTGCATTTGCACACATTGACACATCATAAGTAATGGTAACTGCCAGCACCACAATCAAGCCCCAACACGATTGTTTTATGTTTCAATTTTTTTGATGCTCCAGCCGTTTTATGCAGGCCAATGAACACAATACTTTTGAGTGTGTAGACGACTCATGCACACACAGAAGTTCGAGAGTTGCCAAAATCATCTGCCATTGTCGAAATTCCTGCTCTTCATCTAGGGAGTTTCTACCTAGTTTTGGCCAATATGATCAATCAACGTTAGGAAAATCGATACATCGATGCTGTTACAGAGTTCAGGAAGATGTTTCTAGACTTGGTTTTAGAGCTGGTCACTTGTGCCGAACTCAATTCTCGAATGACGGTGCTCCAATCCACAAACTAGGTGGGTTCTGTGTTAGATAACTATTCTTATTGATGTTTTCTTCTCTTGAATGATGGCTTGTCTTACTCCAGTGGCATACTTTCTTATTTTTTCAGGGTTGCATGAGCTTTGCACCTGCTCCACTTTCATACCAAGGTCATCGCTATGTGCTGGAGGTTATATCGTGCAGCCTTCTTGCCATGTGTGCTCTCCTGATGGGTTTTATTACAGAAGGTAAGTTAATATTTCTATGCTTTTTGACGAGTTGTGGTTGTTGGCATTGCATTTTGAACAATTTCTTTCTTCACTACATGTTATTGGAAAATATTTCAGCTCCATCATTTTTGTAACACTCTATTTCCTGTTCATGGTACCGGATATTTTTCTCTGAGCAAACTTGAAACTTGGATTAGGTATTAGCCTGATCAATCGCTTCATTGGTGGCATGCCCTTTCTCTGTCATGTGCCATATACTTATTTCATAACTATAAAAAATGTGCTCTTGCAGCTACTTCCATGCTTGCTTTGACATTCTTTTATTTATTGCAGTTCCATGGGACATGCAACCAACAGCTTGACCAAATGCCCTCTGTTTGATGCACCTAATAAGAAAGAATCAGGTCCATGTCGGGATGGCAGATGCTGCTGCTCTGTAGTCCCAAAATGTTTGACAGATTGTGGCTATGCAAAGCACTGCGATGACAGAATTGACCAAAGTGGTAGTGGTTTACAAAAGTGCAAGCATGATGTGCAACTGCCTACCAGATGCGTGGGAGAGAGTGAAAAGTTAAGATGCCAGTGCTCAAGCAGTGCTCAAACACCTTTGTTGAAAGCTGTCTCTAATAAAATGGCAAACCAGCTTTTCGCTCCTATATCAGAGAGACTGAAGAATGTATCAGAAGAATCAGTGGCCAACGCCAGCTCGCCTTATATAGCCGTAACGGAGAAAAATGGCTCCTGTAGAGGTTCTGGTGTATGTAAAGAACGACTGAATCCTGGTTTTTCTTCTGGATCCTCCAGTGCTGTGGTGACAAAGTTTCCAGCATCACCTGAATTTAACAATACATCCTCGTGTGTGGATAAATATGGCATTGAACACAAAAAACTCATGTTTGACGAAGGATCAAGAACTGAGAAATCTTTGTCGTCAAGCTATGATGTGCCTGTCAGTACAGGATGTGAAAAGTCCCTAAATAGTTCCTCTACATTTCACTTGGACTCATCTAAAGTGAAGAGAAAATATTATCAGATTTCTGACGGAATTACACTCAAAGATAATGGCAAGCAACAATGTTCTGAAACACGAAGGAAATCAAGAAGATTGAAGTGCTCTGAGGAACATTCAGTGTCAGATGATTGTACTAGGAAAATAACTTTGCAGTCATCCGAAAATGGAGACCCTCAACCACAGAATGAGGCTAGTTCATATTCTTGCAGTGTGTCAAAAATTAAACGGAAACATACTACCATGCAACGAAATAAGCCAGTGAAACGGCCTCACATCCATCAAGAGATTTTGAAAGGTGGTGAGCAGTCAGATGGTGAGGGCATTATGGTTGGAGAATTAAATTCCTCTGAGGAGAAGAAGCAAGTAGAGGATATGAGCACTCTGGTTAGAACAAAACATCAACAGGAAGGGAGCCGAATGTTTGCTCGAAAACCGCCTAAATATGTTTCTCTCAACTGCATTCTAAAGGAACCTAAGAGTGAAAATATTTGTAGTGAGGTTCCCCTTCTCGATTCTAGCTTAATTGCTACAGGGATAACAGATGATAATCGAAAATTTCGTAAAATTGCTCCACTTAGTCTGGTTCTTAAAAAGGCGAAGAGATGCAATGCTGTTAAAACCCCCTGCAACACAGAAAACATCCACTCTTGTGAGGAAAAGAGTGCAGTTCGTCCTGTAGGTAAATATTCTTTTGGTAATGAAAATTACAGTTCAAAAGCTGAAGATGGAATTCAGAGTTCCAAAAAGAGTAGATATTCACCTAATGCCTTGATGTTGAGACCGAACATTGAGCGTGACTGCAAAAGACCCTGCATCGGTATATTTCCGGAAATATCTCAATTAGCAGTAAGGTAGTGATTTCTTCATAAAATTGGAAATATGAAAACACCTTTCATTTCAGATCTTGGGGAAGGTCAGCCTATTGGCCCAACAGATGCGGAGACAAGCCAACTTTCAGTGCAAACATCAAGAAAAGGTAAAACTTGTTATAATATTGATGGTACCTGCTTTTCTGAGTACATACTGGAGAATATGATGATATAATGCAATATATTAATTACTATAAACATGAGCAACGGCTCAGTTTCCTAAGTTCCACATGGGATGCTAAATGAATCTTGTTTTACTAACATATTGGACCAACTATATGCAGGATTTAGGAATCAAAGATCAAGTGTATCTGTTAATAGGATTAAGCGGTGTGAGGAATCTGCAAATAGATCAGCACGTGGTCCTTGTGACGATAAACAAAATGTGGTTCAAGCCTGTGAAGTGAATGTTGGAAGGTTGTAGTTCCACTAGATGTGGTTTTTAGTTTTTCAGAAAAAATGGCTGATACCCTGTCATTAACGTGTCATGGTACGCCACTTTACCGGCTGATCTAACAAAGTTCTGCTTAATACCTTGTACAATGCACAGGTACAAAGAAAGGCTTAGCTCAGCTGATTCATGTTGTGTTTGTCGAATTCCATACCTGGAGCCTTGCAATAAGTTGATGGAGTGCAGCAAGTGCTTTGTCAAAGTCAGTCATTCTATTTCTTACCTGTACCTAGTACTACTGCATATTTACATAGGTGCTATGCATCTCATGTAGGCGCACCAAGCTTGCTATGGTGTTCTAAAAGTTCCAAGAGGCCAATGGTTCTGTAGACCCTGCAAGACCATGGCCAATGCCCAGGACACTGTAAGAAAATTCGTTCTCATTTTTTTAGTCGTCTATTTTGTAGTATATCCATGCCTTATGTTATCTGTACAAGCATCATTGTGGTAGTTTACATTCCTAAGTATTGTGAATTCTCATATATGCAAATTACAGGTGGGGCTTTGCTAGTTCATCTTCTCATCACTAATTAAGCACTTTAGGTTATTTGTTGATTACTACCTAATAATGTTAGATTATCGCTCGTTAGAAGTGGTCTTATCTAATCTGATCGTCCGTATGCGGTGTAACCATGAACGGCTGATTTAGATTGTCAAGGATGATGCACATATTTTGGGAGGGTAGGGTGACCTTTCTTGCACTAAAAGGATCATACAGCATGGAGCATCTAGACAGTAGAAATCTGAGCTCTATTAGTAAGGCCCATTTTGTTTGCACATGCCTTCTGAGTTTGATTGCATCAGAAAGAGGAACTGTATCATGCATGGATACCATACCTAAGGATATTTGTCATTCCACCGCTAAAGGCACCTACATTACATCAGTTGTCCACTTGTGGTTCTGCTAAGGGGTAAGCAAGCCTTACTGGTCTAATATCTGGACCTGACCACGTTAACATAAACCATCAGATGGTAATCCTTGCAATTATCTGCTAGTAGTATGTTACTGGAAACGACATCCTATAGAACTATCTGTTCATGGTGGTGTCTAATGACCTTAATTTCCTCCATGTTAAATCTGTTGAGTATTGTTGTGATTATTTCTGTGGCATAAGAAGTGCTGCTTACTGGTCTCCATTGTGTTTTTCTTTCAGGTTTGCGTTTTATGTGGCTATGGAGGTGGAGCCATGACAAGGGCATTGAACGCCCAAAAAATCCTGACAAGTTTGCGAAAAGGTCTGAGAGTTACATCACAAGCAGATAAACATGTCAAACACGATCCATCTTATGTGTCAAGATCAACGAGTTTGGAAAACATATCTAGAGTAGATAAACAGAGGTTAGTAGACACTGCACATGAGGAGAACACCCTCAGCAGCTCATGGACTGTGAACCACAGTTCAAGTCTACTCGTTCCACAAATGTTGCGGTGGGTCCATGTGGTCTGTGGTCTGTGGACACCTGGTACAAAATGCCCAAATCCCACCACAATGAGCGCCTTCGATCTATCAGGTGCTTTACCTGCCAAGAGTGATTATGTGAGTTCTCTGTCTTAAGTTATCAGACACACGATAGTACCTCTCATGACCGAATTTGTAGCCAGCCTCTGATGAACTTTTTTCTTGCCCTGATCGTTTGTATTTTCCTTTGTCATCAGGCATGCTCGATGTGTGACAGAGCTGGGGGTTCATTCATGATGTGCCGAGATGTGAATTGCTCGGTGACCTTCCATGCTTGGTGTGCCCACCAGAGGGTAAGCCTTTTTTATTAACGGCAGCCACACCACATGTTCTCAACAAATCGACTTGCTGCATGCATGCTCATCTAATCTTCATGCATATTCTTATGATGTTTCTTTTTCTTCATCGAAAAAAAAAGAATCTTTTATTGAGGGAAAAAACTAACTTTTTAAATACGGATGAAAAAGAAAACTAATTTCTTGGGCATCAGAATCCAGAGAAACACATAGTCGTACAATATAGACCGAGGAGTACTGCTTCATTTTTGCATGGTTGCATATGTTAATGTTACTACTCGGAATAGGTATCCAGATCATGACTATCATACTTGATTATAGCTTGAAGGTTGAATGTTTGGCAGGTCATCTAGAAAAGATTTTGAGATATCCTTTCAACTTTATTTTAATTGAAGCCACAATGTTTCAGATTTTTGTGACCTTATTTGCTATGTTTTCGATCATGGGTGCAATGTCCCTGGGAGTAGAAATACCTCTCTCTGGAAAAGCAGTGGCTACACCCAAGTTTCATTGCACCCATAATGAAGAATAAAATCAAAACAAATAGCAAACAAAAATCTGAAACTTTGTGGCATTGATTATGAACAAATGTTTTAGGTGCTTGCAAAGTTTGGTGGCCAAATAACATCAAATGATCTCCATACAAACGAAATACAAATCCTGCTCAAACAGTGCACATACGTTTGAGCACTTTTTGTTTACAGAGCTCCTTGGATGTCATTTGACCACTAAATATTGCAAGCACCTAAAACATTTGGTCATAATCGAAGCCACAAAGTTTCAGATTTTTTTTGCTATGTTTTTTATCGTGGGTGCCATGTCTCTGGGAGTAGAAAAACCACCCTCTCAAAGGAAAAAGCAAACGTTTATGTCTGGCTTCATAGTTTTCTGTGGCACTAGACCGAGGAAATGTAAATGTTAAATGATGCTTCAGTAGATGTGTTATTTTCTTTTGTTATTCCTAGCAATGGCCTGATGGATTGGTTATGGCAAATTATGCACCAGTGAAGATGTTCTGGTTATAGGCTTATCTGAATTCTTCTTCGCTTAGTAAATTGGAATGCACAATACCCACTTCTCATCATGTTATGCATATGCTGGATGTCTATAATATGTTTTTTAGGGAACTATAATATGTGAACTTGTCAAGCTTATTTGCAAACTTACTGTACTAGTGATAGTTTTCCAGTCTAAGAAGGGATGTTTTGCACTAGATAATTTTCCATGGAGCGTTTCTTAAATAAAATGATATGATTCAGGCTCTGTCTCATTTTCTTTTCTTTCTCATGTAGCTCTGTTTCATTTTTATGTTCGCGAAAATTGCAGTTGGCTCCTTTTTTTGTGCGGGCACATGTGATGTTGATTGCACAAAAGATAAACCTAATGCACGGAGATCTGGTGATTTGATAGACAAGTCAATAGACAGATAACATTATGATGATCACATTTTGACCATTGCCTTGGTGGAGTGTACTTTTTAAAGTTGATTGTTGCTTGTGGTATCTCAACAGGGTCTGTTGCAAAGTGATCCAGAAGGCGAGCATAATGAATATATTGGTTTTTATGGGAGATGCCTGAATCATGCTACTAACCGTAAGGAATGCTTGAGAAGCAATGAATGGACATGTGCACGTACAGAGGTAATTTGGTTGAACTCTATTGCCTGAAAATCAGAATCCATATAACTAATTTTACTCCTGTGGAATAGGGTTTTAAAGGACGAAAGGGTGAAGGCTGTTCTGGTTCTAATTACAAGAAACCTCAAGTGAAGAGTAGTGAGTGCAGTGTTTCCCAAGAACAGATAAATGCTTGGCTACGGATAAACGGATCAAAGCCTTGCATAAGAAGACAGGTAGCTCCTTCTACTAATCTTGTACTGTATTGCAGCTGGTTATCTTGAATACTGCATATTGTCGCGTATGCTATGGAGAGACGTCAAAGTTTGCTGCATATTACAGTGTCAGCTGGTACGACAAATCCGTTTACTGATTTACGTATGTCTTTGTTTCCATTTATAATAAGCAGTCCAAAGGATGGAAGCATTTGGTAGTGTATAAATCTGGCATACATGGACTTGGCCTCTACACATCAGAGTTCATACCGCGTGGCTCCATGGTACTTCTGTCACTATTATCTTTTGTTTTCCCTTTCGATGTAAAATATTTGGATTTAGCAGTTTAGCAAATAAAGGCATTTCATAGGTCTGCATCGAAATATCTCAGGTTATAGAGTATGTTGGTGAAATTGTCGGGCAGCGCGTTGCCGACAAAAGAGAGATCGAGTACCACTCTGGGAAACGGCAGCAGTACAAGAGCGTCTGCTATTTCTTCAAGATTGACAAGGAGCATATTATCGACGCCACCCGCAAGGGCGGGATTGCAAGATTCATCAACCACTCATGCATGGTAGTAAAGCTTTGCCTGTCCATGTATCGTGATCCAGTTACAGTGAGCTGACACATGCTTCTTTTGATGTTTTGTTGGACCAGCCAAACTGCGTCGCGAAAATAATCTCAGTCAAGAACGAGAAGAAGGTACAAACCTTTCTCACATGTATTTCATTTCCTTGCAAAGGCCACCCTTTTCCAATGTTGATCTTAGACCAAAGCTCCTGCGCATTATAGGATGGATTATCACACATTCTTGTGGGCACCAACTATTATGAGCTAAAATGACAATTTTGACCATACAGGTAGTGTTCTTCTCGGAGCGCCACATAGATCCGGGCGAGGAAATCACGTACGATTATCACTTCAACCAAGAGGAAGGCGAAAGGATCCCTTGCTTCTGTAGATCATTTAGCTGCAGGCGGTATCTCAACTAGTTGGCTGATGTGTATCTGTGCCGTCTATTTAGTGTAGTGTATATAAAGGACTCAGGCTTGTAATTTGAACATGCGATCCATCATTTAGGGAGCTTTTATTCCACGAGAACATGTAATTCTGTGCCGTCTATTTCAGTGTATGTAAAAGGCTTGGGACTTGTATTTCGAACATGTGATTCATGATTTAGGGAACTTCTGTTCCACCAGAATTGTACGGTACTAAACATATTACTCCCTCTGTTTGTAAATATAAAAAGTTTTGGCAGTTTGATTTAAACTGCCAAAACGTCTTACATTTAGAAACAGAGGTAGTATTAGTTGAACTGTTTCCATAGTTTCGGGCACAACAATGATCCTGAAACTGTTATCAGCGCAAATTGATTGACCATAAATAATGTTTTTAACCAAATACAATTTGTTACGTCTTGTCAGCAAATGGTGATTTCTAGTTCAGGAGGCCTGAGCTACATACACCCTGCATTAGTTGTAGCTTTGGCTCTAGCTACAATGGGTTGCT